CGCATGCACTACAAGGGTGAGCGGGGCTGCGCTGCGGGCCGGGCCCCGGGGGGGGTGTCCCGGGGGTGGCAGGTCTCGGGGCGCGGGGCTCTGGGTACCCCGTTACCCCCCGGGACACCCGCTCATCCTGCGCTTCGCCCTTTCCAGATGAGGACGGGGACCTGATCGCTTTTTCCACCGACGAGGAGCTGGAGCTGGCGATGCCCTATGTGCGGGATGGCGTGTTCCGTGTTTATATCAAAGGTACGGCCGCGCGGCTCCGGGGCGCACGGCGGGTCTCGGCTGAGCGCTTCCTGGCAGCGCTCCCAAAACGGGAGAAGCCAGCTCAGGCCCTTCCCCGTGTCCGCAGGGGCCTGGTGGAAGCTGCGGCCTCTGCGGGGGAGGTTAAATAAAGGGCAATGTAATATAACAGAACATGAATCTAAGGTGGGATAAGCAAACCACGAGTTTCCTCCTAGCCCTATCGGCTGGCCCAGTGCGAGGCTCTGTTGTCATTCTCGTTCCCTGGAAACACTAAACTAGCACTGGCATCTGAAATAGTCACGACAACGTGTTACCCTTATTTCTACTTCCCCAGTGCGTAGTTGGTCCCTAGTCCCTCGTGTTCAGGTAGATGCCCTCAAAGCTTTATTTGCAGTCCATCTAATGAGCCACACCTGTTGTCCCTGTTCTCATGTTATGCTTCCTGGCATCCGCCTTCCTAATTCCTCCTCCAGAAACATTTTGTTCTTGCAGTTCTTTGGAAGGTAGGATGAGAAGCCAACATGAGGTGGTGCAGTACCAATCTAAAATAAGGATGCCAAGAGATATTTAGTATAAGGCATGCTTGGTTTCAGGAGAAAGTATCTTTGCAAAACCTCTTTGCATGTGGTTTAAGGTCTCTTAGGAGCCTAGCTTAGCTTTGGCAGCCAGTGTAAAAATAAACTGACCTAGTAAGCACTGCTCTGATGGTCTGTTTGTGCTTTTCCTGCCTGATTTCCAGTCTGTAAGTAGTAACCTGTTTTTGATGCAAAGTTTCCTTTCCTTAACAGAGAAGAAGGAGTGCAAGCGGGAGCACCGCTCGCAGTGCAGCCAGGAGCCCCCTCGCAACATGGTGCACCCCAATGTCATCTGTGATGGCTGTGAGGGACCCGTGGTGGGGACCAGGTTCAAGTGCAGTGTCTGTCCAGACTATGACCTGTGCAGCACCTGTGAGGGGAAAGGCATCCACAAGGAGCACAACATGGTGATGTTCCAAAGCCCACTGCTTAATCCATTTGAGGTAAGCAAAATCTGTGGAAGGCAACTGATGAGTGAGAGATTGGACAAATTCAGCTGAGCGTTTCAGTTGCTCAGAACCGAGTGTCACATGGATGAATGTCACCCTTTACAGTGGCTTCCCCGAGGACGCTGGCTCCGTAAAATGCGCCATGGTGTTCCACCCTTCCCATGGATGCACTGCTGGGGGTATCCTGGGCCTGCAGGTCCCTGCCAGAACTCGGAGCAAACCGAAGCCACTGCTGCAGCCCCCAGTGCACCTGCTGCAGAAGGTGAGATGCCCTGGTAGACAAGGTGGTGGTGGAGGTGTAGAGTCTGGGTGGGAAAGCAAACAAAGGAACTGATCTAATTCACTTGAAATAATTGACATCTCTCAGTGCAAAGTATGATTACTTTAAGGTGTGTTCAGGTCCATGCAACCAATGAGCATGCAGATAAAGTATCTGGAACCCAACCAAGCCGAGCTGTTAGGTCAAGCATGTCACAATTCTACTCCAGATCTGCCTTTCAGCATGGCTAATGAGCCATAACAATGCTAATGCTGGCTTTCTGTTCCAGAGGTAGCTCAGTTAGTTTTTCTCGGCAGTGCTTTGTTCTCTTAATGTTTGCCAGTGACAGGAATGAGTGCTAAGCTCCTGTGGAGACACACCCTCTGCAGGTGCCCTTTCCCTCTGAGCTTGTGTGTGCTAATAGAAATTGTTTTTCTAGAAGCTTCTACTAACAGCCAGCCTCAGGACCCCAATGTCACCTTCCTAAAGAATGTTGGGGAGAGTGTTGCAGCTTTTCTGAGCCCCCTGGGTAAGTGACCTGCAGTTTATCAGTCCCTGAGACTGGCATATAGGTCTGCTCAACAGGAGCAGCAGTCAGTTGTTGTGACTGGTCTTGGAGCTGCCTCCTGAGCCTCAAAGGCTTAATTTACACTTGGATACTAATAATACTTAGGCTTAGAACAGCCACTCGGTGCCTTTTGAGAGAAAATGAGAAAAGATTTCATTAATGTGTCAGCATTGTAACTTCAAGTCAGTGGTGACTCTGGATTTTGCCTGGTTTATGTGGACACAGATGTAACTTGTGCCCTGGCCCTTTAAGTATATGGTCTGTGTAGAGGAAGATAACTATTTGGTACTTAGCTATTCTTTATTAAGGAAAGCTTTGCATTTTAATTCCTGCATGTTACACGGCAAATTGTAGGATGACAGAAACCTTAAGAGTGTAGAGCAGGATTGATCTATTTAGAATCATTTAGTACATATTTCCATGTACTTTGGAAAAAACCCTGAAGATTTTGTCCACCTCACATGCTTTTCTAGGTATTAAAGTTGATATTGATGTGGAACATGGAGGACAGAGAAGCAAAGTGACTCCCACTTCTGCCAACCAAGAGAAGACCAATGCTGAGGCAACCAGCAGTGCTTCAACCCAGAATGTTCAGACCACAGCAGATTGGAGTAACACAGAGTCTGCTACCCAAATGAATGTCCTTGCAGAACAGATACAGGACATGGTGGTAGATCCTGTGCCCACACAAATGGAAGATGGCAGCTTCCACTCCCAGGTACAGGAACTATGGCACTGAGTATGATTACTTGGTGTGGGGGTGAATAAGAAGATGAGAGCAGATTAAGTGATATACAGCACTTTTAGAGGTTTACAGCAAAGGTTGTAGGACTTCCTGTGGATGCAATTCTTTGTATTAAAGGCAAATGGTAGGACTGTGCATCCTGCCTGGCAAAGCGCTACAGGACCTCGACCTTTTTTTTTTTCCATTTCAGGAACACAGTGAATCTAGCAGCTCATCAGGGGGTGAGGAGGACTGGACCCACTTATCATCCAAAGAAGTGGATCCTTCCACGGGTGAACTGCAGTCTCTGCAAATGCCAGACACAGACGGTCCCAGCTCCCTGAATGTGCCTCAGGATCCTCCCCAGCCAGGACCTACAGGGCTGCGAGAAGCTGCTCTCTACCCACACCTCCCCCCAGGTAGGGAGAGTGTGTACAGGTTCCATAGTTAAGAGTAACTTTGGCTTGAGAACTGCGAACTTGGCCTGAAACAAGCAGATTGTTTTAGACGTGGTAGAAACCAAGGTTGTGTAAGTTAAGAGCTAAACCTGTCCCTGACTTGGGCAGGTTTGGCAGCTCTTGCACCCTGTTAGAGATGACCAGGTGTTTCCTCTCTTGAACGTGGGCTGTTAAGTCTTAACCAGATGTCTGACTTTAGGCTAATACACCATTTGAGCAACACAAAACGGGTGTTGTCCTCAGTCGTGTCCTTGCTGTGTACTGCTCGAGAGGCTTTTAATGCAGGATGTGGACCAGTACATCCTGTGGCTTCAGGGCAGCACTTTCCTGATGGGAGCCAGTAACAGTATCCAAGGCCTCTCAGCTGAGATCAGCAGCACTGAGCCCCACAGCAAGGCCAGCTGAGCCTGACTAAGCACTTTCCTTAGCTCTGGTTATGTATTGTTTATCTCAAACATCTGCACTCCTGGGAGATAAAGATGAGCATGTCTCCTCCTCTCAGAGTGCTATTAAAGCCTTGCCTGGTTTTCCAATTACATGAAATAGCTTAACTCTTATTCTTCCTTTCACAGAAGCTGACCCTCGCCTCATTGAGTCCCTGTCCCAGATGCTCTCCATGGGCTTCTCCGATGAGGGTGGATGGCTCACTCGGCTCCTGCAGACCAAGAACTGCGACATTGGGGCAGCACTAGATGCCATCCAGTACTCTAAGCAGCCACCTCACTTGTAGTAGTAACAAAAAGCACTTTTCTAGCTGAAAGCAGAAATTGCAGCATGAGTTATTATGGTTCATCATTCTTCCTACTCTGGGTTTCTGTCTCATGTTCTTAAGTGCTTGTAGAATGGAGGAAAAATAAATACTACTGCATGTGATGTGTCTGTGTGAGCATTTCAGTATCACAGCTACATTATTTACAGATGAGGCTAAAAACACAAAGCAGCCTAGGACTGCCTTTTTGCACATACTTTGCTGTACACTTAGGGCTGCCCTGACTAGAGCAATCCAATGTTTTTCTTGCTCTAGAGCTTGCTCGCAGCTCTGGAAGAAAGGGTTGCTATGGGAGATTTCAACAGAGATGTAGTTTGGGAAAAAGAGCTGTAGTTTGTAAGGAGTCAATCACAGAATTTAATTGTACAGGCCAGGAATCCTTAAAGCCCTGTGAGCTTTGTCTCCCCTAGCTGACCTACTTCCATTCCTATTTCTAGCTGCTGAGGTTGCTAGACAACACTGTAACCTGAGAGAAAGTCTCTTTCCCCTCCTTCCCTTCCCCCCAAACACAACCAATCAAGCAAGTAAACAACTTGAATAGTGCAGTTCTATATGCCTTTGTGTACAACCACCTTTAGTTCAAAACTCTAAGTAAACAACATAGCAAATACCTTAGAAATAAGCAAGACATGTCAGAGGTCATCATCAAACTCCTCACCTGTGCAGAAGAGTTGCTCACAAGAACGGCTGCTCATCTTTAGCCTAGGGTTAGAGTTCACAAGGGTGTTTGCCCTTCCTGCAGTGGTCCCTGCAGCAGCTCCCACCCTGAGCATCTGGCTCTGAGGTTCCCTGAACACTTCCTCAACTGAGCACCTGCTGCTGGGCAGTCTCAGGGCTTGATCTTCAGTGCTAGCAACACACTTGTTAAATTCAAAACCTGTACCCTGAGGCAGACTTCTTCCAGCCTGCCCTGAGCACCCCCAGGACCTGCCAGCAGCAGTGCTGTCTAGCCCCACACCTCCACTGCTCTCCTGCAGTGCCATGGTCACTGCAGCAGCATTTTCACTACAGTTGTCTGAAAATGAGAGGTATTTTCCCCACTTGGATGGTTTGGTACAAGCAGTTGGGGGCTGTGTATTTTCCTCAGGCACTACAGCCTCGCAGAGAGCAGGAACCACACGGCCTCCAGAACCAGCATCTCCATCATGTCCATCAGGCACTGCTACAAAGCATTTCTTGTGCTGTAAGAATTGAGAGAACTCGGTTATAAATGCAGCATAGAAGCAGTAAAGGTGGCATTGGCTTTGCTTAAATAAAACCTTTCAGAGAGAAACCCCCAACACTTTTTTCTCAGTCATTCATTGGCTTGCTTGAAGAAGTGGAGAAAGACTCATAAAATTCAAAGTGATGATGATACAAAAGAAGGCAGGAGCATCTTTTATAACTAAAATACCTCAGTGGTTTTAACTTTTTTGGCTTGATGGACAAGCTGAGAAACTCCACTTTCTTCTGCATGCTCTGGAACATCATTGGATAGGAAGTGCTTCAGGTGTTTCCTGGCCAAGAAAGCCATTAACAAAGAGGATACATTAGATCCACTGTGATTCTTTTCACAGATCACTAGAGAGGTTCATAAAATGGATGGCTCTTTATCCCCAATTACCAAATCCCTGCTCAGGTCATACACTGCAACCTGCACCTTATCTCAGATCTCAGAGATGAGCTCCCTCCCACACCTCCAAATCAAGTGTCACCACTCGGGGGCAGGAATTACAAAACCAAGTTCTCTCTGTACCTTTGTTCTCCCACAGTGTTCTTTCTCTGGGAACAGAACTGTTGCCTTTCCAGAGCTGCCTCCTCCTTGCCATCTTCCTGATCCTCACTCTCCTGGTCCAGATATTTACTCCAACGACTGCCTTCTGTCCTTCCCTCCTACAACACTGAAGAATTACTAACAACAGCAAAACATGGGGGTTCTCATTTTTGGTATCGTTATGCAGGGGCCGAATGCCCCACATCATGTATGGCATTCCCAGGTTCAGCCCCCTGAAGTTTCAGGAGCAGTTTCTGTGTACATCTCCCTCTGTTTCTGCAGGAGCCTCTCTGATCTGACACACCATTTCAGCTGTCTGAACCATGTAACAGGAGGATCACTGGTTTCACTGGGATTCACCCAGAACAGAATGGGTTTGTATTTACCTCAGCTTTGTAGGGATCTTACCTGCTGGACTGAACTGTCCTCATGTTGTGCTGCTTTATTTTTGCTGTCACTTACAGAGTCTTCTACACACCTAAAATAGAGGTTTAAACTACAGTTTCTAGAACACACTCCTGTCTGTTGATTTTCAGGCTTCAAATCACCCAGTCATAGCACAAGGGATTCAACAGAAAGCATGGATAAGAACACTGGATAGTAGACATGTCAGAAAAAACCAGGATCTGTGGAAAAACTTACACCAAATTAATGATTTGCAAGATACATTGCATAAATACTTGATTAAATCTAGTTAGAGGTTCTCGTTAGAGCCCTCCTTGTTGCTATATAGAATTGCAGGTTTGATCTAAAGCCAGTGATTATGAAATTAAACACTTTAATGGATCATAACTAGGGATATAACAGTGTTTGGTACAACAATTTAAACTCACTTATGTTTTTCCCATGAAAGCAAGGAAAAGGGAAGTTGTTTCATAACATTTTGAATTTCACAATTCTTTGAGAATAAAAATAGCAACACTTTTTGATAAAGTGAACAATGAGTTTTCTTCTCCAAGCTTAACTGTGAAGCACTGTGTAGTCACAACTAACTTACGTAACTACCTGTGACTGATCTCTGAAAATAACTTTGAGTAAAAAGGAGGCTGGACCAGTTCAAGACCACTTCAAGATTAGATGATTTATAAATAGATTCAGATATTAAATAAACAGGAAGGTGCTACTCAGATTTTCCAGCCCAGCAGGAATTATGCCAAAGTGTTTGCACTAGGTTTTTTATCAATAGCAGCAGTGATTACTCAACAGATTCACAGTGTGAACCCCCTAAATGCCAAGAGTTAGGCAGCAGCTTCTTCAAATGGACGTTTTCTGAGGATGTAATCTGATGAGGACTGTAATCTGCAAGAGGGACATCTCCACAGTCAGCTCATCAAAAGAAAGACCAAATAAAAAACCAAAAACAAACCCATAAAAAAAACCCAAAACAACACAAAACACAACAAACCCAAACCCTATTGGGTACATACTAATGAGTAAAGGCCTAACCAACACATGCTATTGATCACCTATAGTTATTTGAAAGAAATCCTTATGAAAAGAAACAAAGAGCTTGTTCCTGAGGTGAGGCCAAAACCAGCAAGGCTTCTCAACAGGCCAGAAAACCTTCTTGTGATGTGCTCAGGTTGGCCAACAGGCACCCAGTATGTGAAGATGCACATCAGCTGCGGCACATCAAAAGCAACGAGCAGGTAAAGGTTAAACACTGTACCAAGATGTCCAACCCAACGCCTCCTCTGCTTCACCCTGCAGCAAGTTCAGCTTCTGGACATGGCGCCGGCACTCCAGGCCCGAGCCCTGCCCATAAACCTGCACAGAACGGATGAGGACAAGGCTGAGGGAGCAGCAGGAGGTGCAGCGACAGCCCAGGTGTGACCGAGGGCGAGCACACGCGGCTGAGGGTGCAGGGCTGCCCTCACCTTCTGCACGGCCTGCTGCTGGCCGCACACGCTGCAGCTCCACCG